TGCCTTTAGTTCATTTATGTACCCCATCATCCGCATGATGCAATCATGAAACGGATGGCTCTCGGTCATCCTTGTGGTCATCAACAGCTTGAGGACCTTTTGTCGAGCAGAACGATTTTGCTCTTCATATATAGCCTTTAGACTATCCAGAGTGTCTTTACAGACTTTGATCTTATCGAATTGTCTCTATATAGTATTATCTAAAGATGCCACAACGTAACACCGGGCAAGAGAATTTTTCTCTTCCCATTCCTGATACTCCCTCCTATGTGCCTCGAAAGTCCTGTCACCCGAATGCTCCGGAGCTGGGTTCTTAGCAACTTTGTCCAATTTCTTGGACATAAGGACCAAATTAAGGTTACTATACCAGTCAACATAATTAGGTCCCTTAAGTTTGTTGTCATCCAACAATTTAGCGAACGGTCAGTGTGCCATTTCTGATAAAAGGCAACAGATATTAGTCCACGACCTAAAATTGTTTCACGTTATCTTACACAGAATGGTCTTTTATCTATGTTTCATCTCCATTTATTCGTTTTCTAGATTTTCCTCCTATCTTAGTGACGAGGATGCGGTGTATGTTCGTCCCTAGAAATGTTGGTAACCACATAGATGCATGGAGCCAACTGTTTCAACTACAAAACCCCACCACTTTCTGTGAATGATCATATCTACCCATCCAATGATCTTTCACTTTGGCCTCCATCAGACAAGGTTCACTGCCATTTTAGGTTAAACCCCACCACTTTCCAGTTTAGGATAGGCCTCTCCCACCTCAATCTATGACGTCCCTATCATCTCATGAAGCAATCCAACCAACTGGACCAGCAAAATGGATAGCCCAATATTATGGTGCATCTCCACCCACTGGTTCAACCTGTCTTCATGCTAATGATGAAAGGCCTTTAGAGAATTCATCATATGATATTCCTTATCTCTTGCACTTATATTAATCCGGAGGGAACAAAAAAACAGTCCCTAGGTCTGATTTAGGTCATACCAAAGTGGTTCCCATTGACTTTCATAAAGTCATATTCAAATGGGCCCAAAATGGGCTAGGGTTCTGCAGGATTCCTCTTAGGGAGGAAGCTGATCAGGGGCACATCGAAAAGGGGAGATCATCCAATGATCTAAGGGCACCATGGCAATGATGTGCATTCAACCATGGTGTTCGTAGAGAGCCAAATACGATTAAACATGAGCCAAGAACTTTTGGCCCATGAACGAATCACATTCAACACATCACAAATATAAGCTCATTTCACAAATTGATCCAATCAATCAAAGGCTTGTAAAACCCTAATTAATTTAACTTAACACACAATCAGCCCATTAAAAGCCCATGAATTATCTAATAATTTCATCTAGGTATATGGGCTAAATTGCAAAAAGCAGTTTGGCCCATATAGCAGTTATATTGAAATGGGCTGATGTTGCTTTAACTTAACATAAATTAGGTTTTTCAAGGGAGGGCCAAATTGGTCCATTTGATGGGCCATCAAACCCTTGGCTCATAACCGAATTTAAGCCACCTAAGATGTGACCCATGGGGGTGAGATCAGACCCCATCAAACCATTGGTTCGGTCCAACTAGTTTGGACCAAACTAGGTCAAATTGGTCTAGGGTTTGGTGTCCAAAACATGCAACAATTCACAAGAATTCAATCTGAAATTTTTAACAACTGAACATTGATAATCAATCACAACAAAAATAAATAATCAAGGGCTGAAAGTGTGATGGTCTGAATTTGATCCGAACGAACTGCAAACCTGTAAGAAACTGTTAATCGCATATTACAGTTTTTCTACAAAATCTTCTATCTTCTTCTCCACACGCTCCAGCAAGTCTTCCAAAGTAAAAAAAAAACAAAAAAGAAAAAGCTAATTTTCTATTAATTACATCAAAATAAATCCTAATACATTTTTTTCTAAAAGGAAAAAAATTATTTGCATACCAATATCAAATAAATAATTCCCGGGTGCGCAAATCTTGACACCAATAAAGAATTCGATCTCCATCACACAGACAACCCAAGAACCAAAGAAATAATAAATAGAAAAATTCTAAAATTATATCAAAATATAATAAAATTAATTTCACATAAAATCACCCAAAATCTGAGAATTGATTTCTTAGGAAACTGCTAAATGCGCAAATTGGCTAGAACAGTTATGCCGATTTCAGTTCTGTTTCAGATCTGGTTTATTTCGGTTCAAGATTGAACCTTTGGCTCTAATACTACTGAAGGAAGGGGAAATCCATCATATGGATGGCCGAACCATGTTAGATGGTTGGGTGAAATTTCAAAAATTTTCTTTTACCCTTCTTGGAATCGTATTCCTAGTTTTGGAAAAGTTGCTTTCTCTAGGATCGTTCTTGCACCGAAACCAGACCAGATTTGAAACCAACAGAAAGGAGGAAAAATACCGGATACGGATTCCACAAATGTAGCTCCCAAAGTGGAAGTTCACATCTAAAGAGAATACCAAAACCATCTTCCACTGAAGATGGCGCAGCTTGAATTGAAGTCGGTTCAGCAACATAGTTTTCAAATAACTATGATCCAACACCTTGGATCGAACAAGGGAGGTGAGCACGAATTTTCTCTGTATTTTTTTTGCAAAAATCAGAGAGGTAAATGATCGATATAAGTCCAAGAAGTGGAGGTCGAATTAAGGTTTCTGGGTGGCAAGAACCGAGGGAGAAAACTTAGAGCAGTGTGTTATCTGGAGCAATTCGCCTCCTCCCTATTTATAAACCTTAAGGAGCACCACTCCTAATTTGATTAGGAGGTTCCTAGTCCAAATCTTTATTTGGATTTGGACTCTCTAAGTGGATAAGACATATCTTCTTATCCTAATGGGTGCTCCATACCCTTATCCAAACTCATATTTGCCCAAGTCACATGACTGCTTAAGCTGTCATGTGACCACTTGATTAATCTAATTAATCATGGACTTTAGGCCCATTAAGCAAGTAGCTTACGTCCCTAAGTAGTTGCTGTCCCATTTGGTTCACTTTGTATGGCATGGAACCCCAACAATGACTCTACATAAGCCTATATGGGTTCGGCCCAGCCTCTGTGAAAAGGCCTGGCCAAATTCACTATCAAGTACAGTGAACCCCTGAATCCATCAGTATGGGCTCTTAATGGGCCCAACATTTACATTAAATGATTATTGAATCTAGCCATCCTATGAAGAACCAAGGACAATGGATTTAAGTAGGATATAGCCCATCAGGTAAACAGCCCTAAATGGTCTCTTACACTTAACCCTCAGCCCTTAATGATCAAACACTGCCTGACAAGGAAGGGCCTCTCCCTTGGCTGCAAGGTGCAGTGTTGCACTCTCTACTCGAATGGGTCCTGGGAATTAAAATCTTTTTGCAAACATTTTTCTTAAAACATATATATATATATATATATATATATATATATATATACAGAGTATAGTCTCAATCATTCACTTTGTCCGACAAAGGGGGTGATCATGTTACTATGATCACCCACTTGAGTGAACTCTCAGAATGCCCCAACATACCCAGGTTTTAACCCCCAAAGGATCTCACTGATTGGCATAATCGAATCTAGGGGTTATGTGTAACTTTACAGTTTTGCCCACCAGTCTCCAAGGTCTAGGGCCAAACTGGAAATTGGTCCGAGTTTAGTGTTTCAAACAAATACACACTACATGTGCTTTGGGTCTAACCCTGGCAGCTGAGACAGGCTGCACCAACCTTCTTGGCAGCACATTAGTGTCAGCTTGGCAGGATAAGCTTCCCCAAGTCTATCCAACGGCTGAAAACATTTTAAAATAACATGAATCTCATAAGTGTCTAGTTTAAGGGTAATTACATAGAAACACATCAATTATAACATGAAACAATTATACACTGTCTAACATGGTGCCCCCATGAACAACGAAGTCACTAGCCGGGAGAGACAAATCGTTCGGCCTCTAGTCCATACATCTTCTTCCTCTTCCTCTCCTTCTTCTTCTTCTTCTTCTTCTTCTTACAAACTAATGTTTTTTTCCTTTTATTTTCAACGGGTCGAAGCAGCTTACAGTGGCAGTCAACATTCAGCTGAACGAAGAGGTAACTCCCGAAAACTTGTGTTGGCTGGAAGATTTGAAAACACCCTTAAAAGCCAAAAGAAGAGAAAGACACAATAAAAGCTCTGAACTTGAACTTGCTTCTTCTCTTCCTCTTTCTTTCAACACAATGAAATTTTCTTTATCCTGAAGCTTTCATCACCTTCCATGGCTTCTCAGAAACACTTCTCTCGTCTCCTAGTAAGCCTCCTCTTTGTTTCTAATCTACCCATCCTTTCTTCGTCTCTTTCTACTGTATCAATCTCTGGAAACTCTAACTTCACCTTAATTTGTGCATTAGTGCCAGGACAAAACAAAACAGCATTACCATTCCTTAATTGTACTAGTTTTCCTAACAGAATTCCGATTACCCCAGCAAATTCCAGTTTTCCGATTTCTGCCACCGCCGCCGGAATTGGGTTCCTATGTGTTCTCAGGGCATCCCCTGATTCTTCTCTCATTTGCTTTAGATTCTCTGGTATTAGTACTGTTATAGATTACAGAAGAATATACAATGGTAAAAAGAAGAAGAGGAGAGAGAGGAAGAAGAAGAAGACGTATGAACTAAAGGCCAGACAATTTGTCTCTCACCGCCTGTAGCTTCGCCGTTCACGGTGGCACTGGTGTAGAGTGAAGGCGCCAGTGAACTGCAACTATTGTCTTTTTGTGTTCGGTTCAACCGGATAGAGTCGGTTGATGGCCAAACCCACGTTACTATTACACAGGACGCACTCAATCAATATGGTCAAACGTGATTGGTGGGTGCACTCATCCAGTGCACCCATGGGTGTACAGAACGCGGACTTGAGACTTTTTATAGAGTCCACGTTCTATGCACCCATGGGTGCATTAGACAAGTGAACCCATGAATCATGTTCAAACACGTCAATCAGGGGAAGCAAACATAATGTTAACTGTCAAAGGCAGCGGCCACAAAATGACAGAAGGTAAATGAAAAGGAAGCCATAGTCGCATTTTGCATTTCCCCTGTATGTTTTTCCTCCATCCACTGAACCCTATCCACACACCGGTGACCATACCACAGCGAGTGACCTGAACCAGCAGCCATCGGCAGCGAAGGCGAGAGCTCTCTGGTGGTACATTTCTGGCCTCTTCTTCTTCTTCTTCTTAAGGGGATTCTTGTGTCAACAGAAACCACCCACTTTGGACAACCATCGGCGACCATACCACAGAGAGTGACCCGAACCAGAGGCAACCACCGGAATGGTGAGAGCTTCGACGGTACGTTTCTGACCTCCTCTTCTTCTTCTTTTACTTCTTCTTACAAAGGGCTTCTTGTGTCAATAGAAACCACCCACCTGGACAACCACTGGCGGGAACAACAACCACCGGAGGGAGGGCTTCCTTTTCATTTACCTTTTGTCATTTTGTGGTCGGTTTGTGTCCAATTGAACCGCCAAACCCGTGTTAACGGGCCTTTGACCGTTACTGCCATGCTTGCTTTCCCTGGACAGCATGTTCAAATGTGATTCATGGGTTCACTCGTCCGGTGCACCCATGGGTGCTCAGAATGCAGACTCCTTTTTATGATGAACAAGTTGAAAGCATTATGGTGGCCCATGATTGCAAAGAAAAGAAAAAATGACACTCAAGCGGCCACAACTTTTAATCTTGGCATTTGACAAGTTGTTTATCTTGTTTTGAGTCCAAGTTTGATTATGAAGTCTAATTTCATTAAAATGTGATGTTTTGGCAAATTTGAGTCCATTTTGAATTTTACTATATTTAAAAACCTTATTTTTTCGGAAAAGCTGGGAATTGGAATCTAAATAATTCATTGTATAAGATCAATTTCAATAAATTAAGTACAATAATCTTTGAGTTTTTTCTTCTCTCTTCTTCTCCTTATCCTTATGAATTCAAGATGTTTGTTTTGAAAAAATGGTATTCTTACTTCACGCCTTTATTTTGATTGATGTTTTATTGTACATCACCATCACTCCTTTATCTTGAATGGCACCCATGGGCAGGCTCTCTACACATGAATAGTGCATGTGCAAACTTATAAAACATTGTATAAGGTACTCTTACTTATAAGCTTTATAAGTATTGTGTTTTATTGTACTTCAATGGCACCCATGGGCAGGCTCTCTACACATGAATAGTGCATCTCACTTGTCCAATCTTTTCCTTATAATATATACAATGTAATATCAAAACAGTAAAAATAAAAGTAGGGGTTGGGTAAATTATAAAGACCATGATCGTGAAACAAAGACCCCTTCGGTATACACGACCACAGTGTAAATTATAAACAATGTACTTTAATCCTCAGTTGGGAGAAAAACACTGTTCATCTTCCCCGACTTTATATACACGACCATAGTGTGAGAAAAATACTGTTCATGGGTGCCATTGAAGCTCGCACCTGAAACACTCGGACCAGAGACGTTGAACCCACAACCAAAAACAAGGTTTTTCAGCCGAGCAGCTCCTCCATAGCTCGCATTCAACGTTGTCGTCTCTGTGGAAAAAGCTCACCTGTACATGTAAATGTCTTTCCCCTATCCAAGATTCTTCTTGTAAGTGTAACAGAAGCTAAGGAAATCCTCGGAAGGATAGCTCGATCGATCAGTGAAAAAACTGTTCTCCTTCCTAGATGCAGACAAACTAACAACACCACAGTAACTCTCCACAATGCAGTTATCAAATATGTGAGTCGTTCTTGGATTAGGCCCATGGGTGATTACACAAGTATAATCCTTTGAAAGCTCCATCTCACTCGAAGAAAGAAAACCTGTGAAAATTTTAGGAGAGGCGGGTGCTTCGAGGCCAAAACTTGCGGACCCAAATGCAGATTTCCTTGACGAAGGCGATAAGCCGGAAGAGAAGGAACCCAATTGTGAACTTCGAGTTTTGATGCTGAACTCAGGAGGAGATTTGGCGGATTCAGTCGGAGAAAGCACAGAGGGTGGAAGAGGAGGAATTTGAATCTTCAGTTGTGATCCAAACAGAACCATTCGGCTTTCAGGTTTGGAGAAATTGTTCTCGCTTTTCTCATCATTGAGGGCGTTGACAATACCAAGACCAATGCCGCTTGAGTCTAACTGTTCCCATGGGTGCTTGCTTTCCAAGCAAGGTTCTGGGGATTTAACAAAAAGTCTATCAGACCAAAAAGGGTTACCAAGACTAGAGAATGGTTTACTATCAAGTATTGAAGATGGGCTCATGACAGCTTCAGTTTCAGAAAAACCCTTCTCAGATAAAGCAGTGAAGAGTCTTGGAGAACTGAAGAAGGACAAAGTGGGCCTTATGAATTTATCTTTGGTTGATGGAAGAGAGCCATGATCCACGAGAACTTGCTTACTAGTCACCGCTCTCGATCGCTTTCTCAACATAACCTCCCTTATCAGATTGTCGGAAGTCTAAACTTCTTTGCAGAATCGAAAAACAGGGGGATAAAATGAGATTTCCTTTTATTTGATTGGATAGTGAAAAACCAGAGCTTCTCTGGTTTCTACTTTCATGATTTTATTTACTCAGAATGCCGAAATATATACAGTCGAGATCCTACGTTTACAAGGATAAGAAGATGTACAAGGATAAGATGTATCGGAGACTCCTGATTCAATTACAACAGAGACTCCTAATTCAATTACTAATTGTAATCCTAACACCCCCCCTCAAGTTGGAGCATGCAGATTGTGAATGCCCAACTTGCGGAGAAAGTACTCAAATTCTTTGCGACCCAGTGCCTTTGTAAAAATGTCAGCCAGCTGAACAGTAGTCGACACATAAGCAAGACGTATGCAACCATTTTGAATCTCATCCCGTACAAAATGGCAATCAACTTCAATATGTTTCGTATGCTCATGAAACACTGTGTTTGTTGCAATATGCAAGGCTGCCTGACTATCACAATATAAACGCATTGGGTTTGAATGCGTAACTCCAAGAGCCAATAGCAATCCCTTCAGCCATTTTAATTCACATGTGGCCGTGGCCATAGACCGATACTCTGCTTCCGCTGAAGAACGAGCCACAGTGTGTTGTTTCTTAGTTTTCCAGGAAATCGGCGATTTCTCAAGCATAACAAACCACCCAGACAGAGAACGTCGGGACAAAGGACAGCTCGCCCAATCTAAATCACACCATGCATATAACTACAAGTCACAATCTGAACGCAACAGAATTCCTTGACCAGGATTTTCTTTCAAGTAGCGCACCATTCGTAATGCAGCCTCCCAATGTCTTTCTTGCGGCTACTGCATGAATTGGGACAGAACATGCACACAATAAGACAACTCTGGACGCGTTGCTGAGAGATAAATAAGCCTCCCCACCAAGCGTCTGTATCGCTCAGGATTAGATAAGAGGGGCCCATCTGTCAAGGCGAGATTGTGATTCTGCTCCAAAGGAAAAGGAGCAGGTTTTGCACCAAGTAATCCAACTTCAGCGATAATATCCAGAGCATACTTTTGTTAAGACAGAAAAATTCCTGTTGAGTTTCGGGCAACTTCAATGTCCAAAAAATATTTCAATGGTTTCAAGTCTTTCATATGGAAGCAGTCACTCAAATATTTCTTGAAGACTTGAATTGCCATATGATCATTACCTGACACGATAATGTCGTCCACATACACGAGGACAAGCATATGTACCATGTCTCGACAAAAGGTGAATAGGGAGTAATCTGAACCTGATTGCTGAAACCCATATGTCTTCAAGGTTGCAGTTAATTTAGCAAACCAATATCTCGGCGCTTGTTTCAAGCCATACAGAGATTTTTGCAACCGACACACCATACCTGGTTTATCTGACTGAAAACCAGGAGGCATTCGCATGTAGACTTCCTCATGAAGGTCACCGTGCAAGAATGCGTTATGTACATCCATTTGATGAAGCTCCCAATCTCTAGTTGTTGCGACTACAAGAAAGGTACCGACAACCATTTTTGTAACTGGGGCAAAAGTTTCATTATAATCAATTCCCTCAACCTGCTTGTTCCCAAAGATCATGAGACGGGCTTTGTATCTTTCCACTGTCCCATCAGCGTTGTACTTGATTCGATATACCCATTTGCATCCTATGACTCATCTTCTAGATGGCGAAGGCTCTACAGTCCATGTCTGATTATTCTCAAGTGCATGTATTTCTTTCTGCATTGCATCCCTCCATTTTTCATCCTTTACGGCTTTAGCAAAAGAAGTGGGTTCAACTCCTGCAGTGATAGCTGCCAAGAAAGCACGATGTCGACAAGAAAAATTGTTACAATTCACATAGTTATCTATGGGATAAGGACTACCTGCAGAATGTGATTGGCCGAGTGAGTTTGCAAAGGAACGCGGAGAGGGACTCAAGCGCTGTGTGGTGTGAAGCACATAGTCTCTTAACCTTGTGGACGCTGTTTCTGTCGATGCCCATGCCCCAAATGAGTATCAGAGTGCTGTTGTTGCTCAACATTGCCACCCCCCTGACGTCAGGTCTGTCTTTACTTGCATTTTCTATGGTGACATCAGAAGGATGCATGGGTGCATTGGTATTCGGGTCTACGTGGGTTCCTTCTTCTACACGGACTCCTTCTTCTACGAGTTCATTTTGTTGGTTAGTCTCCGTCTCACCATTTGCAAGTCCAGGGGAAGAAGTGGATGGTACCAACACCTTATCTGTCCCACTTATTTCACAATCTTGTGCTTTGTTTGGCCGTGCATCCTCTTTGTGTGCATACGGGAATTCATGCTCAAAGAAAGTAACATCTCTGGAAGCAAAGAGCATGCCAGACTCTAAATCATATAAGCTCCATCCTTTCTTTCCAAAAGGATACCCGACAAAAACACACCGTCTGCTTCGACTAACAAATTTATCCCTTCCATGACCAGGATTGTGCACAAAGCAATCAAAGACTCATACATTATCATAAGAAGGAGGTCGCCCAAATAAAATTTCATAGGGAGTCTTTCCCTTTAACAGAATGGACGGTGTCCGGTTGATCAGATAACATGCGGTCAAGACACATTCCCCCCAAAGATCAATAGGCAAGCTAGCTTGAAAGCACAAGGCACGGGCAACATTGAGTATGTGGCAGTGCTTGCGTTCAACCCTCCCATTTTGTTGAGAGGTCCCGACACAAGTGGTTTGATGAATACTGCCACTTTTAGCAAAATAACCAGCCAAACAGACAAACTCAGTCCCATTGTCAGTATGGATCACCTTGACAGGTTTGTTAAATTGCCTTTGAACCATAGCAAAAAAATTTCGAAGGACTCGTCCCACTTCCTTCTTATCAATCAGAAGATAAATCCAAACGTCTCTAGAAAAATCGTCCACTATGGTCAAGAAATAATGTGCACCAAAAGAAGCTACAGTTCTATAAGGACCCCACAAATCACAATGAACTAACTCAAAAATATTGAATGCTTTATTATTACTAGGAACAAACTCTTCCCGACATTGTTTAGCTCGGAAGCATACATCACAACCCTTACTACTGTCAGTATGCTTAATACGAAAATGTAGCAATTTAATAAATCTATAAGAAGGATGCCCCAACCTTTGATGCCAAATATCCAACGTTCTGCTCTCTATAATCTTCATTGCTCTTGTTGATGCAATGCTCCAGAAATAATAGAGTCCCTCTCGCTGCTCACCCGCTCCAATCAACATCCTCGTAGTGCGGTCCTGTATCACACAGAATTTGTTAGTGAACTGGACGATGCAATTCGATTCCTCAATTAATTGTGATACAGAAAGTAAATTGCAATTCAAACTAGGCACATATAAAACACTAGTTAGTTTCAGGTGATCGTCCAGTGCAATTGTGCCTTCTTTTTCTGCTATCGTCGCTTTCCTGTTTGGCAACCCGATAGAGCACAGAATGATATTCTTTATGTCTCTCATTGACTTGAGGTTTCCTATCATATGATAAGAGGCCCCTGTGTCTATTATCCATTCTAACAATTTTTGCTTACCACTTAGTCGTTGACTCCCTTTTTTCTGTGTGTTCAAAAGGTTGAGTAACATGTTCCACTGCTCACTGCTCAGTCCATTTAACCCGGTCTTGGCTGCATTGATTGGTTCTCCTTGAGACGTATTGCCTTGCGCAGAGGCTTTGGCTGTATTGGACTTAGCTTGGCTGTCACGACCTTTTCCTCCTGCCCCTGTTCGTTGTTTCTGTCCACCATGCCCTCGGCCTGTTCCATGGGTATTATTTTTCGGCCGATCACCCCACCATTCAGGGTAGACGATCAGTTGGAAACAAGACTCTACATCATGGCCTGTCTTGTTGCAGTGAGTACATACTATGTTCTTGTCTCTGCCCTCGCTTTGCCTCTTTCTTGTGTGGGCTGCAAAGGCCACAGCTTCAGCTTTCTCTTCCTTTGCGCACATCATAGTCTGAACTTGCTCTTCTTGAACCACTATGGCATAGGTTCGATTCAAATTTGGCAAGGGTTCCATACTCAGTATATGCGAACGCACACCTCCATAGATCGTGTCATCTAGCCCCATCAAAAATTGATGAAGTTTCTCTTCATCTCGCTTCTTATCCCATGCCCTGCTTATGTCACAGTTGCACTTGCCACATTGACAAGTTGGATATTGCTCATAATTTCCCAATTCCTCCCATATCATCTTGAGTTTGCCATAGTAATTCAGAATCGTCATACCTTTTTGTTTGCAATTCGCCAGTTCGGATTTGAGTTGTTGGACTCGTGGTCCATTACCAACAGAAAACCGCTCCTTTATGTCGTCCCAGAGTGTCTTCGCAATCTCTGTGTATGTTACGGTTGAACGTAAATTTGGTTCAATCGTATTCAGAATCCATGGCACAAGCATGGAATTCACCATCCACCAATCTTCTAATTCCACTGAATCTTCCGAAGGTTGTTTCACTGATCCATCGATGAAGCTGAATTTCTTCTTGGCTCGCAACGTCATTCTTATTGCTCGAGCCCATTCATCATAGTTGTCACCTCTAAGCTGGATTTGGGTGATAACGCTCCTTGGATTGTCATTGGTTGATAGAAGGTAGGGTGAGATCACGTTCCTTGGACATTGACTGCCGCCCTGATCCTTGTTTTCAGCCATGTCGAGTATAGTGTTGGTGCCGCTGAAGAGAAACTGCCGCAAAACGTTGATTCGCCGGAAGAACTCGAAGTGTCGCCACTGTTCACCAAAGAAGATGATGAACAGTGATACTTCAAAAACCAGAAGAAATGCTACCGCTGTTCTCCGAAGGAGACGATAATCACCGAAGTGCCGCCGCTGGTCCGAAAACACAGTGTTGGAATGAAAAAAACACAGCGCAGTTGATCACTAGTCTGAAAACAAAAGAAGTGCCACCACTGTTCACCGAAGGAGACGACGATCACCGAAGTGCCGCCGCTTGTCCGAAAAACACAGCGCCAGACTGAAACCACAGGGCAGAACGCTGTCGCCGCTAATCGCTGATCCGAAGTCGCCGCTGATCACCGGTTCGAAGTTGAAGAAGACGACGATCACCGAAGTGTCGCTGCTTGTCCGAAAAACACAGCGCTGGACTGAAAAGTACAATGCAGAACTTTGTTGCCGCTGATCGCTGATCCGAAGTCGCCGTTGATCATTGGTTCGAAGTCGCCGTTGATCGATCGTTGCAAAGCGTCGGACTGAAAACCACAGCGCAGAACGTTGTCGCCACTGATCGCTGATCCGAAGTCGCTGTTGATCACTGTTTCGAAGTCGAAGGAGACAATGATCACAGAAATGCCGCCGCTGGTCCGAAAACACAGTGCCGGACTGAAGCACAACACAGAATGTTGTTCGCCGCTGATCGCTGATCCGAAGTCACCGCTGATCACTGGTTCGAAGTCGCCGCTGATCGATCGTCGCTACCGCTGTTGATATCTAGAGTGCCCTGGCTCTGATACCATGAAAAACCAGAGCTTCTCTGGTTTCTACTTTCATGATTTTATTTACTCAGAATGCCGAAATATATACAGTCGAGATCCTACGTTTACAAGGATAAGAAGATATACAAGGATAAGATGTATCAAAGACTCCTGATTCAATTACAATAGAGACTCCTAATTCAATTACTAATTGTAATCCTAACATATAGATTTGTAGAATTGAACAACATAATGAAGTAATGAACTTTAGAAACTAACCTGAGTTAATTTGGGAGTAAACCCAGAAGCAAAATTTTAACTCAATAATTCGCCATGGATCGGAGAAGGTAGTATTCTGCAAACAACCTCTGCAGAATAGAAGGGAAGAAATAAGATTTGTAAGGTCCTTACTAGACCCGAGTAGACAAAAGATGGTGGCACTGGCAAAGTATCCACCTATCCAACAACCAAAAACAGAAAGCCCTGAATCGGCTTCATAAAAATTTCTCCTAAACCTCCGTAACCTCCATCATGCAACGCAACAAAACAAGGAAAAAACTGCCTTTTCCCCCTATATTCTTGCTTTTTCCTTAATGGATATGAACATTTTCTTCCCTACGATAATAATCACTCATTCACTCTTCACCGAAACCCACATAAAAACAAGCTTCATGATCAAAAAGGAGACACCAAGATCAGACGAGAATCAACAGGCAAACGGCAAAAAATCTTGTAAATTTTTTGTTTTCCATTTCTTCTTTCTTTTGGTTTTTTAATCTCCCCTTGTTTCTTTCTCCGGTATATCAGCAGAAATGACTCTAGTTCTACTTTCAACTACCACTAGACAGAAAAAGATTCAAAACGCGCAGGTGCAGACAAGACCCATAAACAAAAATAACAACAGACGAAAAACTAACGTGAAAACAAAAGGCTGAGTGTCTTTCTCCGATGGGCTTTTTGCCACACAGGCAATGACATTGAATACGAGCTATCGAGGAGCTACTCGGCTAAAAAACCTTGCTTTTGGATGTGGGTTCAACGTCTCTGGTCCGAGTGTTTCAGGTGCGAGCTTCAATGGCGCCCATGGACAGTGTTTTTCTCCCACTTTGTTCTTGTATATGAGGTCGGGGAAGGTGGACAATGTTTTTCTTCCAACTGTCCTTGGGGTCTTTTTGGCAAAACAAAGTATAGGGGGGTCTTCGTCACAGACCCCATAATACAGGAGAGTCTTTATAATTTACCCATAAAAGTATTACATGGATGAGGTTTTTTTTTTTTTTTTTGAGTAAGGATTGAACTATGATACTTTGATATCAAAAAATATTGTAACCAATCAGCCAATATACTAATGCCTCATTCGCTTTTCTTTTTGGTAAGTTACTTTACATTTACTTATATTCTTTTATTTCTCAGGTAAATAAGATATGATCATTTTAACTATAGAAATTCATTATTAAAAGGGACATTTTGTCCCATTCAAATGTTGACAACTTTCCCTCTATGTGGGAAAATTATTTATCCATCCAAGATATGGGTATCACTTTCAAAGGTAACTCCAAATCAAAAAAAGAGTCCCTAAAAGTAATAACCAATCAAATAATATTTATCAAGATTTACAGGGTTTTGATTGGTTTTAAATAGTCAAATGGCTGATGTAGGGCTTTAATGCGTTATAATTGGTTAAACAGCTCCTATGTGCAACCAATCCGGACCAAGTACGCATTTATACGCATGTGTACTCAGTACTAATTGTTTATCAACTGAATAACAACAAAAAAATGACGTATATGCTTAGAATGGGTAGTAGCATAGATAAGGTCGGACTCCTCTCTTATACTCATTTGTATGAAAACAGACTTACAATTTTAATATGTAAGTGCTTTCCCATATTGTTTCATAAAAGAATGGCAATTGTAGGACTTCAGAAACTAAAAAAGAATGGCCACTGTATAAGCTTCCATATGGCAAGGCAAATAAGTTAAAAAACAAATACATAAATAAAAATGCCCCGAGTCAGCCGTGCAACATGTCTATTCATATTTGGTATGCATTCTATATTGCACTAAGAACCTAACCCAATACGTATGATTTTACTTATTTAATTAGACCCGTTTTTCCAGAATGAGAGGACCTAGAGACGTGCTTGAAGGAGAAGCCTTCTATGAATACTTTGAAAAGCACAAGCGGTGTTGTTATTCATATTTATACTCTACAAAGTGAGACAGACTCATTAACTACAAAGAGAAAAAAAGTTAAAAGCACAATGTAAGAAGCAGAGATCAAGCATCTACGAACACCCAAAAATATCTTTATTATCATTTCAATTGGACATGGGAGGACTTGATTCAGATATGCAGGCCTTCACTCTAACCATCCATGCGAATGATGCATCGGAGACTCTCTCCTTTCAGCATGTACTCAAAAGCCTTGTTGATCTCTGAGAATGGGAGTTGATGAGTGATGAACTTCTCTAGTTCCAGTTCCTGAAGTATAAGCATAACAATGATACAGAGTCTTAGATTGACATATGTGAACCAACTAGAGGATTTAAATGAGAAAAAGCATTGAAATTGTTAATGGTGAATTGAGTGTAGAAGTTTACCTTATTCATGTATTTTTCTACAACAGAGGGGAGGTCGGAGCGTGGTTTGTAGTTTCCAAAGAAGGTACCCTTGAGAGTTCTTTCATTCAGTACATTCATTGGGTGGGTCTTGAAGACAGCATCTTTGTGAGGTACACCCACAAGAACAGCAACACCCCAACCCTGAAAAAGCATTTTAAGTATCAATTGAGATGAAATGTATGTGATGGAGATGCTGCATTTCACAGTTAGCCTAGAGAAATAATAATCCAAGGGAGAAAATAATAAGGAGAGAAATGAGGGAATGGTTGCAACATACATCATGAACACATTCGAATGCAGAGATCATAGCATTAATATTTCCAGTACATTCAATGCTCCGGTCCACTCCTCCATCAGTAATCTCAGCAATCACCTAAATGGAACATGAAAACAACAAACTTAAAATCAGAGGAAGAAAAAATCACCTTACAGGTATTAAAACTTCCATGCATATTAGCATATCAAACCACTGATGTAGGAGATGGAAAAAGGGTATTTGATCACTGGAGTTTCATATATCAGGATAAACACAAAACTTTATATACAAACCTCTTGAACCGGTTTGTCATAGTCCATTGGGTTCACAAATTCAGTGCATCCAAAATTCTTAGCTGTTGAAAAAAGGCAGAGGAAATCCCTTTAATTTTCATCTTCAATTGTAGAACATATACATTTACTGATCCAGTAGAAAAATCTTTAAAAGGACTGAACCATTACCTTCCTCAAATCTTTTTGGGTTCACATCAACACCGATAATTCTTGATGCCCCAGCAATCCTGGCCCCTTCAGCAGCCTATTCATATATTTTCAACTTGAGTCAATCCTCCATTAGAGGAATTGAAAGAACAGACATAAAAATAATTCCCCTATGAAAATAATACAAACTTACAGCAAGGCCTACAGCCCCCAATCCAAAGACAGCTACTGTTGAACCCTTGGGAGGTTTTGCAACGTTCAATGTGGCACCAAGACCTTCAAGAGAAAAATCCGAGTTTCTTAACTTGAGAAGTAGATGAATTCATAAAAGTCAGGATTGGATTAACACTTTACTCACCTGTGGAGATACCACAGCTGAGGACACAAACTTTGTCAAGTGGAGCCAAAGGATTGATCTTGGCCACACAGCCAACATGAACAACAGTGTATTCACTGAAGGTGGAAGTGCCCACGAAATGGTAAATTGGCTGGCCATTAATAGAGAACCTGGACTGGCCATCGTTAAGCATCACACCTCTGTCAGTGTTTATCCTGAGGAGGCTGCACATGTTGCTCTCCTCTGACTTGCAGTGGTCGCATTCTTTGCATTCTCCTGTGAATACTGGGAGGACATGATCTCCTGGTGCAAGATCTGTTACTCCCTCTCCAACGCTCTCCACGATCCTAAACAAAAGTTACAGAAAAATCAGAGAAACCAATTAATTGAATGACAAACTAAAGAAGTAAACCTTAAAAACCCAAAACATTTAGTACTCAAGCCGGTGGTTAATAAGCATTTCTATTAGAATCAGGTCTCTGTAATCATAAGAATGCACCCACCCTCCAGCCTCATGGCCATAGATCCGAGGAAACAGAGGAGATTGTCCCTGCAAAATTGGAAAACCCATTTTAATTTGAACATAGAATTGATGAAGCATCATCCATGATAATTGGATTATTAAGAGCAAATAAATACTAAACCGAAAGAAATTACCTTAGCCTCCCAGAAGTAGACATCAGTGTGACAGAGGGAAGTGTAGAGGATCTTCAGACGAACCTCGTTTGCCTGTGGAGGCGCCACCTCCACTTCTTCGATCACTAGTGGCTTTCCAGCTTCCCATGCAACCGCAGCTGCAGATACACAGGGAGTCAGCAAAATGTATTGTTGAAAGACTTTCCCTTTTCTAACGCTAAAGACTTGAAAAAAAGATACAGGACCAAGTGAGAGCGAGAGACTAGATAGTTGACGGGATAGCTAACAAACGAAATTAAATGTAAAAAACTTCATTTGATTATCGATTTCAAATACTTCTGTTGTCTAAGTATATTCCAGATCAGAGAAAAAAAACTGAATTATGAGGACCCAATTCACCAAGACGTCATAAAACTCAACATCAATGAAAAAGATTCAACTAAAAGCACAGTAGAAAACCCAAATTCCAGATGACCCAACAGGCAGACAAATTGGTACTGTTCTACATCTTTTCCCTACAGTAAGCTAACAAGCAAGCAGATCAATAGTATGGCATCAAAACAAACCCAAAACAGAAGACCCAAGCAAATTAATAACTAAATGAGGGATCAACTGAAAATCAGATCAGATCAGATAAAAACTAGAACGTCGCTATAGTACCTCTGCAACGAATAACCTGACCAGCAGTCGTCATCTTTCCTTCTTAATGTGGAGAAATCTCAGAAATGTATTCGAAGCTCTAGTAAACAGTGTTGGTGTGATATAAATCTGCTTTGTGGGGTATTTATATGATGAGGAGGGGTACAGAGGAAACCGAGAATAAACTTCACTGTATTCGATGCCAACAAAGAGAAAAAGATATTTTATTCTTCGAACCTGCTGTCTTTCCCATTAAAATTAGCTTTAATCAACGTATAAATACAGCGGCGGTCACTAAAAACCACTCCCAGATTTCAGTTTCATTGGTTTCTGAACACTGGTTTAATGTTTTTTACTTTTATGCAACAGGACTTCAACATAACATTTTCCTCCTTGTGTTATTCCATCTCTATCCTTTACAGAAACCACCGGATCCGTATCTTTCATATCAGGGACGGATAAAATAAATTAAGAACACCAAAGCCTGTTGGCCAGGTAAGAGATTCCAATCTCATGGTTTTTGCCATAGGTTCTACTTCAATCCTGGACTTTTCCAACGGCTTAGCGACTTATTGCTTTGTCTTTTAGGGGACAAAATTTGCGATAATTGCCACGTTTTGAATGGGCCCGAACCTAATGCCTAATACTGAAATTCTTCAAATGGACAACCGAATTTGCATCGGTAGATAAGCTAGTAATACAATATTTAGGGTTTAAGTAATCAATTCAGCTAAGCTGATTCAATTGCTTTGAAGTGCTTCGGATAAGCTATTTTTGAAACAAATGGTCCTTTAACTGATTGATTGACAGTCAATTTGAACTCTCTGAATATTTTACCAAACAGAACATAAAGGCTGTTCATGGAGAGCTAGAATCTAAAACAAAAAAATTTTACTCCCATTAAATTGTGTGGGTATTTTAGATTTCCACAGTAATGATAAGGCCACGCCTCTTATTCACAACGGGCACTCAATTGACTTTTTAAAAAAAATGCTTAAGTAATAAGTTAATCATTTCAGCCATTTCAATTCTTCCAAATGGGATTCAATGACTTGTTTACAAAATATCTAAAACAATAAGTAATTCAGTTCAGCCATTTCAGCTGATATCAAACGGTCACTCAGTGTAAAGATTTATTCTAATTTAGTTCAAAAAAGATGGATTTTAACCTACAGTTTTGTCTAGACCAAGGTTTTGTATCAAATCCAGCGTCCTTTTAGTTACTTCAATCCTGGTTTATCTATGCAAAACCGCCAAAGCCTTGCTACGGCTGGTTTGGTGGTTTTCCATCTGTATTGTTTACTTTTTCTTGAGAGTGCATCAATATTGGTCCAGATGAACCTACTTCCGCCCAATTAACGAACGACTTACATATGTCTACAGAACCTTCAAATCAGCATGGATAACATAAGAAACCAACAGCAACTTGTTGAGACGTCCACTTGCTGCAGATGTCAACTATTTTTTTATCTTTTTTTTATGATTTAGTCTTATAATTAAATATTTCTATTTCAACTTTCAAGCTGGATTGAGCTCAATTTGATTTTTTTTGGGGGGGGGAGGTGGTAGGACCACTTTGAACATGAGATGGAATAGCCAATTCCAATCCTAGAAACCATGCAGATATTTATAGTCGTATATGGCGATTGTATATTGGTTGTTCTTTCCTTTGTTTTGTTTTATTTATACTTTTGCATGCCCTCTGATTGCGTATATGGTTTCCAGGAAACTGGAGTACTTTCTTACAGAGCTATCATGTGGTATTTGAGGTTGGGTTATTCTGTAATGCAAAGTGGGTTTACAATGTATCTCATTTTTTGCATTATTCCTGTTTGTTTAAAATGGATGTAAAGTATGATTCCCATCATTAAATGTCTTAAAACAATGTTTTTAAAATCGGATTGGATAGGGAATCGGTTTGGGTCTGATTCTTGAGTAGAACGGCCCGATCGTCCAACAAATGGACAGCTTGTTTTGACAAAAAAAAAATCTTAAAAAAATTAAAAAGTCTAAAAAGAAAACAGCCAAAAATTGTTTCTGAGTCGAACGGTTTGATGGTTCGATTATTCGGGTCAGCAGTTTGCTAACTAAATCAACAGTTTCTAGTCAAAAAGCGGTTTTGGGGGTAAACTGACTCTGGTTTTTCTGATCTGATCGTTCAGTCCAGTCTGGTATCGAAAACATTGCCTTAAACCTTTGGTCAAACACACCAATTATCAGAAAAGTACAAAATTGTATCCAAACAATGGGTATTAGGGGTGAGCAAAAAAAACCTAAAACCCAAATCAACCGAAAAATAGACCGAAACCAAATCGAAAATTTGGTTAACCAAACTAATCAATTCGGTTTCGGTTCGGTGTTTTTAAAAAATCGAAGGTAAGGATTCGATTTCGGTTAATCAATGTAGAAAACTGGCGGTTAACCAAACCGACCGGAATCCATATATTTCTATATATTTTATATATATTTATGTATATTATATACTTTATATATTTTTTATATATTATAAATTAATAAATATGCATTTTATATATAAATATATATTTATAATATATGATATATTATTTACTAATTAAAATATAATATTTTATTTATATTTTTAATTTTATATTTTATATTTATATATATTTTTATAATATATATTATAAAAATTAAAAAATCGAAAAACCGATGAACCGAACCAATCAACCGGTCAACCGACTGACTGATTTTGGTTCGATTTCGATTACCGATTTTCCAAAAACTGGTAGTATCAGTTCGGTCCAAGAAAAAGCCCCACGGTTCGGTTAACAAAACCATGAGCCCCCCTAATGGGTATAGTAATGTTCTCTCCTCGTGAAACCAAAATGTGAGAAAACACATTTTTGACCTCTTAATCGTTGCATTTTTTATGTCAAACAAACGCTTACAAATCCAAACCAAAGTACATAAATACCCCGATTCGGCGTTTGTATCACAAACAAACGCAACAATAGGAATACTAGGGCTAGCTGTACTCTTTGGGTGCGGAGATAAGGGTGTCATAATATAATATTTAAAATATCATCTGATTTTATTTTATAAATATCCGAGTTTGACCAATTATATAATGCATATATAATATTTCAAATATTTATGTATTTTAGGCAATTCATATATATATATATATATATATATATATATATATATATATGATATTTAAATAATATAAATAATTTATAGATAAATATATTTTATATAAATATTAATTACCTAAATCATCAATCAAATTTAATTTAAACTAAATATTCGACCTTTAATCAATAGATTCAAATTCGGATATTACTTGATTCAATTCAAATATTTGACCTATGTGAAGATACTAGATCAGCCTTGCTATGATTTTGACAAGATTTTTATTTTTATTGTATTGATATTTTGGTTATGATTTTGACAAGATTTTTATTTTGATTGTATTAGTATTTCGTGACATTTCTGATTTCTTCTTGCAGGTGACAAAATTAAAAAAGCATTCAGCTAAAGGGTCTTAAGTGAATTATTTTAATACTTTATGAGTTTTACCTATTTTATTGTAAACGAAGTTCTCAAAGTTAAGTAACATGCAAAAAAAAAAAAAAATCAATAAAGCATACAAGAATTGCAATAGTAGAGAAGAAAACAGTAGAGTACAACCATATTGAACATACTAGTTTTTTTAGAGAAAAGCTTGTTGTTTAGAACAAACAATCTATGCTGCTCAGAAGCTTCCTGTTCAAAAGCAACCCTAATGTCATTTGTTTTTTCTTTTTTTTGTTAAAAAAAATTAGGTTCAGTTTGGAAGGATAATATACAAATAAAGGCTCAGGTTGGAAGGATTACAAATCTTGTATTTTGTATTATTTTGTATGTATTTGTACTGAGGCTAAGTTTGGAAGGAGTACAAATATAAATACTTAGAGTGCAAAACCTTATATTTTGTATTATTTTGTATGTATTTGTATTGTACATATTTGCATTTGTACTCTTTTCAAATTGAGCCTTAGGCTGCATTTGGAAATGATATAAATGGAGTGTAAATCCCGGTCCAAGGTAAATTTGCACTCTAGTTCACTTTTGCTTGTATTTGGTAACATTACATTTTTGCATTGACAAATGACAAATCAATGCATATTTACATTGATAATAAAATGTAAAAGTACATCAACAAAAAAGAAGTAATTTTACATTCAAGTGGGCTTTTGATAAAAAAAAAAAAGCATATGCTTTATTGGAATTCATGTTTCCATCCATCACAGCTAAAAATCTATTTGGTAAGAAGGTAAGTTTGTCAATGCAAAACTAACCCAACATTGCAATTTATATGAACCATTTTACACTCTACATATTTGCATCATTTCCAAATGCAGCCTTAGTTGCAAATACTCTTTTACCGGGACCCCTCTTTTACCACTCACCCATAGCTAGGTTGGAAAGGTCTCTTACTAGATGTAACAGACATTTGAGATCAATTCCCACCTTCACCCAGGCTTAGGAGTTATAAGTACGGGGGTGCAAGTAACCTCATTGTGCGGCCCCATGAAGCCAAAATGATATTATAACAATTGGGATTTGTTTCTGAGAAAATTATTAAAATTAGAAAAAAAAAAAAACATGTGGTTTGATCTTTAGAAAATTTCATAAAATGCCTCAAGAACATTTTCCATAGCTTGCTCAATTTCAACAATTTTTCCCACAAGCCAAATGTAGTTTAATAGTAAGAAAGAATGTTATCCAAAGACACAACTCGTATGAAAAAAGAGACCTTGGATGGAATATGTGCCTCCCCCAAACATTTTCAAGGGAAAATGATAGTTGTAGGGCCCAAATGGGAGTCATAGTTAAAATGACTTCACCAACAAAAGAAGGAACTAATCGGTATTGTGGAACCACAGTCCACTTTACCTACATTGGTTCTAATTTGGCATAAATTCTAACAAATAAACTAGGGAATCTAGCGCCGTGGTGTAGGGTCCATACCACTTGATGACCAGCCAACTCGTAACAGTCCTTAATCATTTGTATTTCTAGCTTAAGGTAGGTTGAAGAGAGAAAGGAATTCTTGATATAGTGGTGTTGGGAATAATCTTTATATTTTTTTTGCACAAATCAGCGATATCTAAACTAATAAAGAACAAATATGCAGTAATAAAAATGAATAACCAAAAATAGAGCAAGCAATAGTAGACACCA